TATACATTGTGAAGTTCATGTTGACGTTGAAAAGAGATTATTTATCATGCTGTGACAGGATAAGTAGTATAACATGGCAGAGCGTTTAACTAAAGATTTCGAGGTGACCCCAATGCGCTCGCTCATAATTTGACATATAGTCAAATAAAGAATCCCATTTGCTAAAAAAATTTCGTTCGGTTATACAATTTTAAAACTAATGAAAAAATTGTGAGCATTAACCCGCCAAGCAGATCGGTAGCATCAGATTGCTGGCTTAGATTGATGACAATAAGACGTCGGCCAACCAGTTCGGCTAAGTGCTGTACTGCCGACGTCTTTCCAGTGCCCGTCTCTCCAACAAGAAGTATGGCTTCCTGGTGCTGTATCGCAATGGCTATCTGTTCGACAAGATGAAGTGAGTGATGAGTTGCGGCAAAAGGCTTTCCAGCGCGATCAGGGCTGAGATGCAAAAATTATATAGATGATAAGAAAAATGAAGACGTATAAGTTACATAAGTACCCTTAAATCAAGATATATAAGGGATCCTGTCACCAAATAATTAAGATAAAATGAGAATTAATTGTGTCAATCTAAACAAAAAGAAGTCTTAGTAAAGCCAAGTTGTAATCGCGTGTAGTAATAAGGAAGTACACAAGTAAGCAAAAACTAAAGGGCGTAGTTATCAACTATATCAGGCTGATTATGATATAAGTAACTAGTTGCAACATTTAACTCAGAATTTTGAGGATATTCGGGCTTGTAATTACACTAAATTTCTGTTCCATTTAAGTTCATGATTAGTCTCAATCGTATGCTATGAAATGTCTGTAGCTGAATCCGAATAGAAACGGGATAATAAATTTTGTACTCCAGACAGTAGAGGGCGTATCCATTAAGCTAGGTAAGCCAAAGCCTGAATTAAGGGGGCATATGCTCTTCAATATTGGTGTTGGTTAGGGTATCCTCGTAGAAGTTGAGAAAAATAGGTTTTCTAAGAATCCCATAAAAGATTGATTTTGGAGTACCTTACACTTCATTTGAAGAACCGAGTGACAGTTATGTGCATGCAATGCTCGCGAGTCACGCGGTATGTGAAAGTGAAAAATCAGATTTAAGGTTAATCATGCTTCTTCTGGCTCAAAGATACTTCATTTTCCCTTTGTTGGGTATTTGATATTTAAATAAACTATGAGGAAAATGTTGTTTTCTTCGTACCTATTATCCTGTTGTTCTCCTTCAATCAATCATCGCATTCACATGCATCAACACTGCAGGATCAAAGATATAAATGACTTAGAGGAGGATGGCTGTGAGTAACACTTATCTGTTTTTTGTTTCATCTTGCAATGGTGGCGCAGGTGTTTGTGTTCCATTGTATGTGTTGTGAGCGTGCAATGTTCGTGAGACGCGTAGGTAAGGTTAGTTATGTTAGTTATGCAGGCAAACAAGATTTTCAGTAAGGACCCTACAGAAACCCCGAAGTCTAGAGTCAGAAATCGCCTGCAACATTGTGTAACAAACGAGGAATTAGAGAAGTGGAATATGAGCACACTTCTTCAATGAAATGTCAGGCCACCGAATACCCATGGTCTGCCCAAAATAGATAAGGAATTAGTCCAGCTCAGAATTATTATCAATAATAAGGGCAGCGCGGTGCGTAAAACATCACGGTAGAGCTTCAACAAATAATACAAATCTCATAAAATTGGCAGTTTAAAAAAAAAGAATTCCTATGGATTTGTCATTTAGTCAATGAGCTGAGTATATAATGAAGATTTGCTCATTAG